GTTTAAACTCAAAAAGTTGGTAATGCGACCTCACAATGTAAGCATCACTTGCATAGCAGTTCTACCTTTGTGACCATGTTTGTGCTGCCATATGCCCTCCCAAAGCCACCAATTTATGCCAAAATGCAATCGTAAAAACTCGGTCGATTTTCAATGCCTCTGTCGGCGGCAGGGAAGCAGGCTCGTGTGATCCCAGGTAAGCACAGATGCTTGGCTTGCGCGTGGGCTTACAGTCAACTAAAGGCTGCTTGTTTTACAGGCGAGATGCCGATGGCGCAGCAATTTGTTGGAGTCTGGCGTCAAAACGTTCCAATCGAACACAGAAAGGTATTCAGACACAGCTGGATGTGCGCACCCAATTTCAACCCTTGCCGTAAACCGCGATCCTCTTGAGACGTCTTCCATGACACAGGATGCTGACAAGCTGTTTCTAAAAGGACTGGAGCTCTTCTTACAAACAGTTCCTTCCACAAGATGTAGCAGCCCTACCATCGTCTTTTCCCTGTGGCCCATGTAAACTATGCCCAAATACACGCTCCCACCAACCCCGACGAATGTTGGCACAGAATGGCCTGGCAATTTAGGATTTAGGATGGTTTGGTTGCAAACAATCCATTGTTTGATTTTGCAAGCTTCCACCTTCCCCCAGAACCAGCCCTTTCATCTTCCACTGTGTCCAATTCAGCAAGAAAACAAGGAGATGTTGAAGGGCTCTAGCAGAGCTGTGCATACGAAACGTGTGTCTCGGCCCCCGGTGATGCGGGGGCAGGCCACGCGAAAACGCGAAAACCGCGAAAACGGCGAAAACGGGAAAACGGCGGAAACAAAGTGCCTGGATTTGACACAGCTCATGGTTTTCTCGAACACCGCATCGGCGCGAAAACGGCGAAAACGGCGAAAGCGCGAAAACGGCGAAAACGGGAAAACGGCGAGAACGACGAAAACCGTTTTCTAGGTTTTCTCGTTTTGCCGGTTTTCTTGGTTGCGGTTTTCACGCTCAAAGGCAAGAGAAGCAAGAAGACGGCGAAACTTAGGGATCACCTTCCTCAATCCTTCCTCCCATGACGCTGCCCCGATCTTCTTTTGCGCGAATTCCAACGAGCTCTCTATTGGAGTGGATGCACCGTGCGCCTTTGGGGGAGCCTACACCCCAATCAGGACTGCTCAAAACGGTTCGCAGGACACTAGACGCATCAGTCCTCACTGCAAGACGATGGCCACATGACCACCCTCCACAAAGCGATTGGCCAGCGGTTCAGAGCGACTGGCGTCCTCCACCACCACGACAAAGATGGGGTTGCCTTGAAGGTCCCAAATAGATGGAACACTGAGGCATTCTCCAGATCGCTGGCTCTTCTCCCCAACAAGACAAGATCTCTTTTTCCCACCAAAAAAATTTGGGTCTTTGTCGACGTATCGGTGGAAGTGGAAGGCCCATGAAGGCCCTGAATCGGCCCTTTTCGGCTAAACACTCATGTAAACTATGTATATAGATACATGTATATGTATATATATATATTTGTATGTGTATATAGTGTACATAAGCTAGGCACTGACAACTACAATAGTGTTCTGATCTTGTTTCCTTTCCCACATTGACCACCTACAGGATCTACAGCACAACTTTGAATCTACAACACTCCATAAATGTATATCTTTTCTTGTTCTAAACCAGGCGCATCTTGCTTTGCTTGGGTCTGGCCGACAGCTGTCGACCAAAAATATGGCATCCCTCGTTTTGGCTTATGTCCATGGAGCCCATGGCATGGCAAAATCGTGCAGGATCGGAAGACACAAGATTGAAACAAGTGCGCTCTTTAGGGCGGCCTTGAAATCGGTCCACCTTTGTTGCGCCAGGCGGCTCAACGTGTGTTCGAGCAGTAGCTGCGCGGGGCCCGATAGGACACAATGCGCCGCCAGAACCCGGACGTGAATTCGGGCCTCGCTCGGTCCTGACGATCGGGTTTGTTATGGTAAGTAAGCATGGAAGGTCTGTGCCTTATACTCTTTGCATCTTTTCTTCGCAGCCGCCCTTCACCACCAGGCTAGAATCTTGGCTTGTTAACATCCAACTACCCTGTTTCAGCGTGAGCGTCTAGCTATATATTTAGCCGAGGTCAAGAAGAAAACTGGAGATGTCTTAATGACTTGCAAGGCATACAATGGGAGATGTGTGCTGGAGAACTTAGCCTTGGAGCTCGGGAATGCCTTGGCTGGGGCGGCTTATCCCAACCATCAACGATTGATCTTAGCTGCTGTTTGCATGTGCCCAGGCCAGTCTATTGAAACAAAATACAAAGTGTTCACGGGTAATTCTTGAACTGTCAGGAAGGCAAGCCCCACTGAACTAACTTAGAGTCCATCGCAAGCCCTTGGTTTCCAATCTGTCCTTGCGTCACAAGAGCTCGTCGATTCCGCGCAAGGAGAGCCATGAGGCATGCCACGGCTCTTCAGTTTGATGGAGAGGAATGGACGTCGTCTGATTCTTGTTTTTCTTTCATCCCTGGGTTCCCTCTGGATAGACTTGGTCACGTTATCTGGTCGTTCATGCGTAGTGCCTGTGATGAGGTGATATTCCTTTTGGATTGGAGATTAAGATCATTCTGATTCACTGAACTATTTACTAAGATTCGTGAATTGAACTTAAACTTCAACCGTTGAGATTTAGTGCACAACTAAGGAGCATAATTGAAAACCCTCGAAAGTGGCGAAGACTAAGAAAACAACGACTGCGCCGCGAAGCCGACACAAACGGCGAAAACTACGAAAATTGCGAAAACGACAAAAATACGCAAACGGGCGAAAACGGCGAAAGCGGCGAAAACGCGAAAACGGCGAAAACGGCGAAAACGCGAAAACGGCGAAAACGGCGAAAACGCGAAAACGGCGAAAACGGGAAAACGGCGAGAACGATGAAAACCGTTGTCTTGGTTTTCTCGTTTTGCCGGTTTTCTTGGTTGCGGTTTTCACGCTCAAAGGCAAGACAAGCAAGAAGACGTAAGCAAACTGGAAAAAGCTTCCACACAGGAAAACGCAAAAACGGTTTTCTCGGTTTTCTGGTTTTCTCGGTTTTGTCGTCGCATCGCGCGGGCCACGACGCAGGTTTTGTGTTCTTAGTAGCTTCCCGCCCTCGTTCGCAATCACAAATGATGATGAAAATGCGGCGGTGCCATAAGTGCACCGATAACAGTTCAAGGAAACCACTTGGTAAAATTTCAATTTAGACAGCCATGGTGCTGGTGCTTCATACTTTAGCTAGTTGCACTTTCTTCATTTTCTCTGCTCATGAAGAATTGAATGATCTACAAAAAAATGCTCTTTGAGGAGATGTTTCTCCTCGGCTTGGTGCTGGAGTGCCGAACAAAAACAAAAAAGACAACGACTATTGATTAAAAAACAGAAGAATCAAAAAGACTAAAGATGTTTGAGAAGATTCAGGGATGCTCAGATCTAGGCGGAGCAAAGAAATTAAGGACCTTTCAGAAGATTGAGGAACAAATCGTCCTGTCGCTATATCAAACCTTGGAGTCTTCTTCTCAAAAAAGGGGCTCCTCACAAAACTCGGGCAATGTCCCTAACAAAAGAAACGCAAGCAACCGGCCTCCATTTTTCTTATCAAGATTCGATGACCCTGGACAACTTGACTGTATATGAAAGGCGTGACTCATAGCGACAGTGGGCCAGTGTGGGGCCTTCTTATGTTCGCCTGGGCACTAGGGCAGAATCTGACCAGTGTTTACGTAGCATGTTTGAATGTCTCCATTAAATTGAAAGTGGGCGGAGACCTAAAGGGAGGAGACCAAACATAGGACAAAAGCCAATGCAAAAAAAACAAGGTCATGCGGTCCGATATCCCAGTTGTGTTCTCGTTTTTTCTCACCAACGCATCATTACACCACAGGCCGCAATGACAAATGATGATGAAAATGCGGCGGTGCCATAAGTGCACCGATAACAGTTCAAGGAAACCACTTGGGGACACTTCAATTTAGACAGCCATGGTGCTGGTGCGTCATACTTTAGCTAGTTGCACTTTCTGCATTTTCTCTGGAAGAATTGAATGATCTACAAAAAAAGCTCTTTGAGGAGATGTTTCTCCTCGGCTTGGTGCTGGAGTGCCGAACAAAAACAAAAAGGACAACGACTATTGATTAAAAAATGGAAGAATCAAAAAGACTAAAGATGTTTGAGAAGATTCAGGGATGCTCAGATCTAGGCGGAGCAAAGAAATTAAGGACCTTTCAGAAGATTGAGGAACAAAACGCCCCTGCATCTTTCTGGGCGTGATAAAGAAAAAGCTTTATGAAATGCTGATGCTGTGACAAACTAGTCCAGGAGGTTTGTCTTTACATGTCTTTATATGGTCCGGTCTCTTTGTTTGCACGGCAGGTGGACGCCTTTGTTTGCAACGGAATCTTTGCAACGGACCGGAGAGGCGCTCGAAACGACCGCCCTGAGAGTCGCCCGTCCCTGAAATGCACTCAACCAGGGGAGACTCCCAACGTTCACTGTGATTGCTTTGTGGAACTGCGGAATCTCTGAACTCTTTAGACTCCACCTGTTGCGTTTCTTGGTGCGAGAGCGTCAAAAACTTTATGCATTTGCGGATCGTTTGGGTTTCTGCCGTTGCCGTTGCTTCTGCTGTCGCTGCTGGTGCAAAATCACCGTGACACAAACTGAACTTGTACGAAACTTATAACAGCCCTTACTACGCTACGCGTCTAATTCCAATGTCCTTCCGCGACCCACACTTCTTGTATGTCACACTTGGACATTGGTGCAGGCGCTTACGCAGACCGCTATGCCGCAGCTCACGTGCATAGCTGGCTCTCGAGGTTAGTAACCTACGCAGCATATAGTGACCTAGTGAGCAAGCACCAGCCTAGCTTAGTACAGGTTACCTACTCAACCTGTTACCTACTTTGCAGGTTGTGTTTGTCCGCTTCGGGATGACTCCGTACATCACTCGTTGTGTTTGCGCCTCCTTTTCTTCGACGTTTTCACACGGTGAGCGCTCCAAGGGGAGCCCAGTCTGGCACATCGAGCAAGAGATCAAAACATCAAAGCCCATATCAAATCAAACCATCCAAACTCACCTCAACAGAAAAACAATGAAAAACAATGGTTTTTGAATGTTTTTGAGGGTTTTGGGGTGAACCTTCACCCACACTCCTCGAAGACCGAAAACAAACCAAACACAAGCTGACTGCGACGAGCCGTTCTGACCTCGGTGCTGTTCACCGACCTCCCACCAGGCTTGGCCTGGCCCAACGGGGGTGGACCGAGCGGACCGAGCGGACCGACCGGCGAGTGGTGGGACGACCCACCGTTGGATCCGAAGAAGTCGGTGCCTGGATGAAAGGAGGGCATCTGGATGTGACGAAAAAGGCTTCACAGCCAGTATCTGGACACTCATGAACCAAAGGTACCAAAGTACCTCAAGGTACCGCTAGACTTGTATCTCATATAGGACTACTACTAGATCACATCGTGCGAAGAAGAAATATCTCGGAGCCGGGCCACGACATGTCTGACATATCTTCTACAAATTCCATCTGCATGCGTGCACCGAGAAAAGAAACATTCACCAAAACAGTTCGAAACATCTCCAAAAGAAGATCTGTCTTCTGCCACACAAAAGACAAACCACCTAATCAGCAAAACAAACAAACCACCCCCCCTACTCACGGCTCCAAGTACTGCACCTATTGGATCCATTACTTCACGTCGACGGCGACCCGAAACTCGGCTCCGTCCACACGGACCGGGAGGACCGGAGCGAGACCTCGGAGTGAACCAGAACGAATGGTTTTCCTCCGGTTTTCGGTCAAGTGAAGCATTGGCCCTTTGGTTGGGGGCGGTTTCGCAACAGAAAGGCCATTGGCCCTTGGAAGCCGGAGCCTCTAGGCGACAACACGTCAGGCAAGCCTGTAAAGTTGGTGATATGCTGCAAGAACGTGGAATCAAATGTCCAAAGACCTCGCGTTTGTGCACTTTGTTTGGTTGCCGATGGTTGGCGGTTAGTGTTTCTGCATGAAACATCTCAATGCAAACAAAGTAACTCTCATCTCGTGAGGTAGACCGCACACATCGTCGCTGATGCTCGCAATGACCCTCGCCAATGTCGCCGAACAACAGTCAGTTTCGATTCACTCTAACTCATATCTAAAGCTGCAAGATAGAATCTCTGAAGTTGACCTATGCGCCTCAAGGTTTCTCATCAAATGAAAGTGCAAAGAGAAGACATTCCTGCCTTTTGCCAAATTTTGAGCATCATGTTGGTGGTCGGAACCTGGAGGAGATGGCCGAGTTGGTAAGGAAACTGTGACCAAAAAGGGATCCCGAAGCCGTGTCCAGCGCTTCAGCGGAACGGTTTCTGACTCTATCACTTTAGTTTTCAGAGCTGATGGAGGCAGGATGAGTTGTTGCAGACTCCGTTCATCTCGGTTCCAGGTTTGGGGAAATTTTCTACGCACGGAAAGGAGGTGAGTTTGAGTTCGAGGTGGGTGGGGGAAACTGAAAATTGGTCCAGTTGAAGTTTGAGCAGCTGCGTTGGGGAAACTATGGATATAATTCAAATCTCCTCCACTGCAGCTGCTGTTTCACAAGATTTGCCGCAAGAGAAAGCCACTGAGTTCCATGCCTGATGTTTGGAAGCGGGCCTCTCAACCAAAATTGGCAAATGAACACAAAAATGCAGCTTGGCACTGAGTCTGGCATGATGATGCACAGTTCCACTGTTCATGAAAGAAGTTGCTTTCAAAAAATCGCACAGGTGTTTTCTCGACTCGATCGGGGGTGGCGTCATTAGGCAATCCAAGGGGCTGTTGAAATGCAACTGCACTGCAACCCCTCCAACCCTCAGTGGAGAAGATCCTGGACATCTTTCTGAGTCTCATCTTTGTGATCTGCAAAGTGTGCGAAATAGATCATGGAGACTGCCGAGAGTGTATTTACGATCAACACAAGAAGGAGGCAAAATGCTGTGACGGGGCCTGGAGCAAAGCGGAGACTGGGCCAGCATGTCTTCAGATCTTTGCCCAAGACATGCGGAAAATGCTTCTGGAAGACATGCTCCCAAAGCTTTCGTTTGTAGTTCCACATTCCTTCCTCCAAGTTCAAGTCATCGAACGTCTTAGGAAATGGATCGTTTGCCCAGCGTTTTTCAAGCCAGATTCCTGATGCTTGTGCAAAAAGGTGCTTGCGAATGATCAAGAGCTGGCACCATTGCCGGAGGTGCCACATGAAAGACGCAATTTTCACGGCGACTTGAAGAAGCAAAATGGAGGATAAATCAAAGGTTGGTGTGACCGAGAGGATAATCAGCTGCATCAGCAGCTCAAAGCCACTCTTCAGGAACAGGAGGGGCATCATGCACTCGAGACCTTCCTGATCTTCTGCCTTGAAGTGTGCTTCTGACAGGAAAGTCGCATAGAAGAGGCGACTTCCAAACAGTTTGGCTGCTCCTTTCCCTGGGCAATTGCCACGTGGATGGATCCTGGGAATGATATCCACTAGAGTCCTTGGCTTGAGAACCAAGTATGAGAGTGTTAGCCAGAAAGTTGTCTTCGTCCACTTCCAACTGCATTTCACAGCACCCACCTCATTCTTCTTGTACGGCTTGTTCAAGTCACTTTCGTCGATTTGTCTTGCCATCTCTTCCACAGCCAGCACCAAGGCAAACACAAAGCTTGTCAAGGTGACGGCAATGAAGGAGGCGGTGAAAATATAAAAGATTAAAGTGGGCCTGTCCGACTTTGCCACCTCGAGGATGAAGTTGACGGAGCTAAACAATTCAATGCCATACATTGCTGTTGAAGCATCCGCCTTCATCAAGTGCGGGACATGATTTCCATATGCAAAAACCCGCGTATACATCCAGTTGTTGCCAAACTCTTGCGACTTGTCTGCATCGTCTGAATCGTGCGGACATGCACATAGTGGCAAATCTTCATCGGATTCATAATCTTTCTCACTGCAGATCTCAGAATGGTTGGGGTCCATGACATCTCCACTGTAGCAGTTGATGTCTTTTCCATCAAAATCCAGAAGGGGCCAGGGCTGGTCTGCTGTGGGCTGCTCCATCAAACTTTGTTCTGCATACTTCTGCAACCAGCTTGGCAAATCTCGTTTCTCTCCACTTTGGTCAAAAAACTGAGTTCGGTACACTTCGACCACTGGTGCGTCTAGAGGGTCGCCCTCCAGGATCGCATACTGTGCATTTGGGACTGTGACTTTCTCCTGTGCTCTTCGCACTTCTCCCAAAACTTCTCTTCGTCTTTGCCGTTCTTCACAGTCCTCATCGTCCTTGCGCTTGTCTTCCATCCTCGCTGCATGTTCGATCCGCGCCATGGCTAAACTGCTCTGGTCTCTGAAATGACCGGAAGGGTGTTATTGCAAGGAAGCCATCCAGGAAAGCTTCGGACACTACAATCGCGGAGACTACCATCTTGAGAGTAAACTTTGCAACCAACTTGCAACATCCAATCGCGTTGCACGTGTCCGTGTTGGCAGAACTGCACTAAAGACTCGGAGTCTGTTTCAAGCAAACTTGCGGAGGCTACAATCTTAATGAGAGTAAAATTTGCAAACAACTGGCAACATCCAATCGCGTTGCACAAATGAAATGAGGATATGGAGGAGAGGAAAACAATCAGAACGACCCCTCATTGAACCTCTGGCGCTGGTCATGGCCGTGACCGGCACTTGAAGGAGGAGAACAGGACAAAATGTCAATTACTAAAGGACTCCATATCAACCCATTGACAGCGGACACGGGAGAAGATAACCAAAGGAGAAGTGACAGTCTTCCTCCATCACCTCAGCTCTGGAACAATGAACTCATCAAAGAGAATTCACACGGCGCAGTCCTTCTGAGTTGGTGTGTCAAACTCCCGCAGTCCTTCTGATCTTGCACCTGGTTGCCACGGGAAAACGACGCATTCCGAGGCGTTTTGGGAGTCATTTCAAGATATCCCAAGACATCTCAAGGCCAGTCGCTCCAGTAAAACGCCGCTCACGACTCTAAAAGGCCGACGGTTTGATGTCCTGAAACGACCAGTGTTCGATGGAAGAAAAGGGAACAAATGGAACAGTTGCAGACTGTCCTGGTTTTCGGTGTACACCAACGACTGGAAGCGGCAGGAGGTGCAGGGGAGGCGCACTTGGTGTAGTCTCCGTGTCACGCCGACTGTCTCGTTGGATGGAAACATCTCCCATGTGACCAGGAGGGCTCCTCTGCGTGGGCCTTCTGCGTCTTTCGGAGACGTCCTTCCTCCATCATCGATGTTCCCCCCGTGCAGTCAACGCCGTTCTTCCTAGGCAGTCAACGCCGAAGTGGGCACGAATGATCCAAGAGGAGGATAGAACCCAAGCGAGTGACGCAGAAGTGGAAAGAGCGAGGACAAGCACACGAGATGTCGAGTTTGGACAAGGACAGAACATGGCTGAAACATGCTAATACCATTTTGAGGATGAAAACAAGGTGTCATGTGAACCCGTGAGCAGATGTGAGCAGCTGGTCTCTGCCGTGTGACATTGTGATGGAGCCTCAGTTGATGACAAGGGAAATAGGGAGTAGAATGGTTGCTCATGGTCAGCTCCAGTTCATGGGGCAGGCTATGGCGTGGCCGAGAAAAGACTCTTGCTGAATCTGCCAGTTGAAACACGCAGCACAAAGCACACTCCTTTGATGCGGCAAAGGCTCGGCAAACGGCTTCACTCAACGTATGCGAAGGCAGGTGTTCGTCAAAGGTGGACAGTGGACAGGTGTGGATGAGACTTCATGTGGTACCTGGCCAAGCACTGCTCATCAGCAAGCACTTTCTCCAGACTTTAGGGCAAATCTCAGGGAACGACCTTGCCGTTCTCCGCAACATTTCTATTGAACAAACATGTGATGCCCAGTTCGGAGAGCCTCTTCTGAGTAGAAGTGGCTATATTTTTCGAAAAGGAGGAGTTGGATGCCCAAAACGCGCCGAGCGACGAGAATTCGATCCCGGACCCACCAGAATTCGATCCTGCCGAACTCGCATCGAACGCATTCGCCGGGTCTGGAGAGTTGCACCAGATGCTGCCAGCCTTTTCAGTTGACAGCAATGGCCATGGGATCTTTTTCACAACAATCATGCGGACCCCGAACAGGAAGTGACTCAAGTAATTCACATCACCCGTGATGCGCCTGGAACATCCGGATCATTTTCCTGGCGGTCGCCGGCCATGCGGTCCATCCCGAGCACTGCAACATACTGCAACAAGAAGATCGATCCCCCCTGCAGCAGTTCATGGGAAGAGCGTGGGTCGCTCGTGAGTGCCATGTGGCAGCCAGTTGCCAAATTATTTCAATCCAAATAGATCAAAATGCATGTCAAGAACCATTGAATGTCATGTGCGCAGCACTAAGTCCAGCAAATGTACAAGGTCATGAAAGAGAAATTGAAGAAGTCATGTGCATTGATGAGCCGTATTTTGTTACGATATGGTGCACAGGGCATGGTGCTGGAAATAGTAGACGGAAAGACCGAAAGGAGATCAAGTTTGATGCCAGCGACAATCACCCCCATGGATGGAATAACTCCAACAGATGTCCTTGGAGAAGCAAATAGGATCAAATAGGCACGTGAACACCGTTATTGTTGACACGTCGGAATATCTAAGTTTGCTAAATGTCCCCAGTACCCATAGCTCCTGATTGCTGCTCTTCATATCACTGAGCCAAAGTGGTGGCAGCAGTCGCGTATTCTTCCTCCTCCGCCTCCTCCAATTGATGTACAGGTTTTCGGCGAGGAAGCGGGGCAAGGGAGGCTGCTTCTACTTCGGCATTCACGGTATATAGTGGTCAACGTCGTTCAACGTCTCCCATGACCCTACCGTTTACCCAACCCGTTTACCCAACCCAAAAGTCAAGAAACTTTCTCAAAAAAGCTGGATGTCAGAACATCCCCCGCCCAAAACCGTTAATCCATGTCTTACTTTAAGACTTACGACGACAGGTAACCACTGGAAAGGTAGATTTATTTATTGTTTTTTTTGTGAGGTCCTGAGTAAGGAACTCAGCAAGAAAATAGTGAACATAGGTTGGGGTGTTCGCGCAACATGTGGAAAAAAAGCAATCAAAAAGTGATTGCGGAGACATAGGAAAGCAAAGCATGGTCAGGAAAATAGTGAGCAAATAGCAAGAACATAGTGAGCATACTGACTGACATATTGTGAAACGCCTCCTGAAACGACACGTGACGTTTATATACTAGGTGTCGATTGTGGATTTTTTTTTTGATCATATGTTGGTCACCTTTTTGTGTTTTTTCTTGCTTTGGTATCCAAATATTTCAATCAAATCACCTTTGGATCGCTTTCTGCTCACCTTTCCGCTCACCTTTTTTTTGACTTGTCCCCTATCCTGCACTCTGAGATTGCTGTTCGTTTGCTCCAACTCGTACTTCGAAATCACTAAAAAAACTATGTTGGCCACCCTCAGCGGTTGGCTGGACTCCATCTCTTAAGTCTTACTAAACCTCCCGTGCTCCCCGTCACGGGTTGCAGAGTTCTTTGGTTCAATACAACTGCTCCGTCCATCTCCGTCCTCTCGACTCAAGAGGCCTGCTTGCGCGAGCTCAGCTGATCCTGGAGACAAAACAAGTCGAGTTCGTGGTGAAAACTAAGTGTTTAAACGGGGAAACTAAGTGTTTTGGACTCATCGAAACCCGCCACAAGATTTCAGAAATCCGATTCATCCACTCAACAGCAGGGAATTCTAGTTGCTGCATAGAACTGTAGAGATCACTGCTGATCTTCCTTCGGCATGCGGCAGCTCAATTCCGCAAGAAGGTGGTGCACTCGGAAGCCGCCGATCCTCTACCAGATCTTCAGCCGAACATGACCTGAGACCTTTGCTCTACGGCAGGCGGATGGCACCGAGTGAAACCACGTTGCAATGGGATGGCGAGGTCATCATCTCAAGTATCAATGTCTTGGCACGTCGATAGTCAAGCTGGCAGGTCTGATAAGGCAAAAACCTGACACCTGCCATCTTTGAAGGTTTTCATGCTATCACAGCCAATCTCAGAGCTGAAAGGCCGACAGAGCCGAAACAGCCATGTTCGCATCACTCTGGTGATTCGGTTGAAGAACACCCAATGAAAAAACATCGGAAGAGCTTTTGTTGAGCGTAGGCATGGTTCGTGACTGAATGCAAAAAAAATCAAGGTTGTGCTTGCAGCCTTTCCTAAACAAAATTATAGTGGTCCCCGAATAGATAGAAAGGGTGTCCAATACATTGTTAGTGGGGATCTACTTTTCTATCTAGTTACGGGGTCTATATGCAGTGTCTATGCTGTATCTCTCTATGATGAAATGCTCAGAAGTCATTCAACGGGGCGGCCCAACAGCCTCTTTTGTCTGCACACAAGTGGTCACATTCAAGGCATGAACACCTTCGGTGGTACTGCCTCCCAGCATGCAGCAAAGGGTTCCATGATCAGCCGTCCAGGTTTTAGAAAGGCAAACATCACACTCATAGAGAGGACAAGCGGCTTTCCATAGTGCATGTACACATGTACACACACACATACACTAGTCTACGTGAGAATAACCCCAGGAACGTGTATCTTCGACTGCTCTCAGTCCAGTGACATTGTTTCTGCTGAATCTGTCAACTCGGAAAACCGTGGAGAATATTGGGCAACCCCATTCGTGTGCCTCGTGTACCACACAACTTCATACAACATCTGCGTGGTTTGGTTTATCGCAAAATTTCCAAGTGTCGCAGCGTCGCACACCCAACTGCAAAAACTAATGAACACTAGGATGTCATTGTCATCCCAGAAAACTGAAAACTGATCACAAATAAAATGAAATGAAATGAGACTAGCAAGGTGGCAAAAAAAAACAATTTCCTGGCAAAGCAAACTGTCCTCCCAAAAACCTCAGCTCACGCTAAGCCTCCTGGACAAAGTGCAACTCTTCTCTTCTCTTCTCTTGTGTTCTTTGCCATGTCCTAACAGCAGTATACAGCAGTGCTCTTCGAAGCTGAGACAAAGCACATGCTGCGTAGAAACATCCTGGCAATCGGCTGAAACTGCAGTTTTTTCGTGACTGTTAGGTGAGCGACCCACCATTTACAGCAATCATGGATTCAACCGACGACCAACCAGAACCCATCAATTCTTGGAGGCGCAAACTGGGATGCTCCTGAAAAAACCTCCAGATTGAAGGACCAGCGGCTTAACTTGCAAAAAAACTCAACCCACGTCTTAGGCAAAGCTTCAAGCCGACACCGCGAATACCGTGTCCTTTCATTTCTTCTTGGCTGCTTCCTGGCGCTGCGGCGCTCACACTCTGACCAAGTCCAGAAAGAAGTGACCGACTGCCACAGGTTGAAGTGTCCCGATCTACAGGAGTTGTTGAACCACTCCAACGAACATGTCTGCCAAAAACACTAACACTCTGACATTGGTTTTCAGTTAATCTATTCCCAAGTGGAAAAAGGTGAGGGAACGGAAAGGTGCATGAGTCCGCGGAAAATTATTGTTTAACAATGTTTTCACGTGACTGCAGAAACGCGCGGCGGCAGGCTGCGGTGACGCAGCGACACTTCAGCTGCAAGACAGGGTTTGGGGGAAAGTATCGTGGAAGAACCATGGAATCAAAAAAAGAAAAGTGGAGTCACAGCGTAGTCAAACGTTCCGGTTGCAGGTACACGAATGGACGTCTCCATTCGCTTCCCCTCCAGCGATTTAGCTTCGTTGGACAAGGTTCATCGCTGGAGGCCTTGCCCCCCTGATTTTTGAAGTTGCAAAATGCTGTTTTTCCAATTTTTTTGAAAACATTGTTTTTTTCATTGCGTGAGCGCTCTTTTTAAACCATCCCTGCTTGTCGACCAAAGAGGGGCGAGGCAGTCGCCTATTGAACGCGTCAGTTCCTACAGCGGCGACACCGCCGCCTACAGCGGACACACCGCGAACCCGACATAAATAATAAATACAACAGCGACAAAGCGGTTTGTGGGTCAGCGTGCTAATTCTTTTTTACAGCAAGGTATAGTGAGCACATCATCGTCCCATCGCCACCGCGGAGGAAGCGTCCATGACTCGGCTAAAGCAGGTGTGAGCAAGTGGGACTCAAGCAGTTGCCAAACGCGTCCCCAGTTCCGTGACTTCTCAACCAGAAGCAACATGTTGTTTGGCACTGCAGCTTCTTCCCCACCCTGCCTGTACTGGATACAAGCAATATCCACGTATATTTATCTATCTATATATATATATATGTATCTGATATATAAAATATATATGTATCTGATATATAAAATATTTCTCGTGTATATATATATACAGAGAGAGAGAGAGCTTGAAACAGAGGCAGTAAAGAAACAAGGGAGCTCCTTTTTCCGTTGGTGAACGCCCAATGTGGCCAGACATCTGACGTCGCTTGACACGATGTCAGAACGAAGTCAGGCCCGGCGACACCCTGACTACACACGATGTCAGAACGAAGCCAGGCCCCACGACACCCTGACTACACACGATGTCAGAACGAAGTCAATCTGCTTTTATGTTGGAATTCGCCAAACAACATCCTGACTACACACGATGGCAGAACGAAGTGAGGCCCGATGACACCCTGACGACAAACGATGTCAGAACGAAGTCAGAAGGAAGTCAGACGATGTCAGGCCATGTGGGCCCTCATAGAATTGTTTCTGTCTTCACACACCAGTGCGGGCAGGCTTTCCTTTCAACTGACCAATCTCGGAGATTGCACTTCCTTCCCTTCTTTTCTCTCAACGCAAGCCCAAGTGTTTCGCAGATGCACGCGAAAGGGTGCCCTTCTTTCTTTTCCTCCCCTCTCTTTTTTCCATTCAAACCCGGCCGAATGTTTGGAACAGGGTGCTTGGAGCCAAGAATACTTGAGCCCACTAACTAATTCCCTTGTTTCTTCTTGGTATATCAATATACCTCTAAATCAACATATCCCTATATTCAAGTTATATTAAATATCTTTATCTATTATCTATCAACCAGATATGCTCAAACGAGCTTTTCCCTATATGTAACCACAACCGAAGTGATTTGTGTAAAGATGTTCAAGTGTAAAGGGTTTCTTCTATGTTTGCAACAGCCCAACAAGTGTTAAGTACCAAATGGTCGATCTTATAAAACTTTGCCCGCTCGACTACCCCTCAGCAATTTCATATATCTAGGGGCTGTAATGGCATTTTTAAGGAAACAATGTAAAAGCAAGCAAAAAATTAGGTTCTTGTAAGCAGGCTGAGCGCACGCCTAAGTAGAATAACTAGGGTTTAGCTTCCGTGCTATTTCTAAATTGTGTATTTACACTGTATCTAGCGTAAGTCTGGCCGAAATACTTATGCCAGTTAACCAGTTTACAATCACATATAACCTCACATATCCACACGTACAACCTCACATATCCACACACATATATATATATATATGATCTGCAAGAACATCCTTATGGTAGAGCCCAACCAGGATGATGCCATGAAGTGCAAGTGACATGTCAGCAACACTGTTTGGCATCCGCTGGAAAACTTTGATCGGAGGTCTAAGAAGAAGGAGGCCAAGGAACCATGTTGAGGAGGCCCACCGTATCAACTCATAAAGGTTGGGACGGAGTAGTTTCCCGTAGGAGCTCACTAGGGCGGGGGCAAATTCTCCCGAAAGAACTGCGCTCTCTTTAGCTAACTTCGCCCCTGGCAACTGCGCTCGAGGCTAGCTCTCCCAGACTCTCCCCACGTGGTTTCTCCCCCCGATCCTGCTACAATTCTTTTCTTTTGTTGGTCTCACAGGTCTTTGCCTTTGGAGGGCTCTCTGGCCAACAGGGATTGTGAGGAACACCTGGCTATCCAGCCATCTGGTACTCCTCGACTGCTCTTATCTCTGCAGGCTCAGCAGGAGGTACTCATACACCCCCTCACATCCCAGCGCCTCAGCCAGCTCTTGCCATGGATGTAGGACATCTTTCTGCGCTGCTGGCACCTTTGCAGCTCCTTCTTCACAGGCTCTACCAGTTCCATTCAATGTCTACAAGCAAAACTGCTTACAAGACAGCGGCTATCCAGCCATTTAGACAACTAAGTTGAAGCCAAACAAACCTGCCACCTGAGAGAAACTCGAACCTATATGGCTGTCCAGCCATTTGACAATTAATTGCAGCTGATTTGCTCCCAATCAGTCACCCATCTGCGAGTCCATCCCCATCTCCTTCACCCATTGGTCCCACTCCTGCCATGCTCAATAAGCTTCAAAGTGCTAAAGGTGGCTATCCAGCAATCATTCCTACAACAGTGTTGGCTGTCCAGCCATTTGCACAGTCCTCCTGGTTCCATTGGCTGCCAGCATAGTTGTTCCATACATCATGTTGAGGCCCTTTCCCTCCACTCCCTCCACCAGGTTCAGAGCTCTTTCCTCCCTCTTCTGTGGCTCCCTCTCCTCCATCATCTCCAGAACCTTTCCTCCACCATCTCCAGCATCTCCAGGGCCCTTTCCTGCTTGTCCCTTCCTTTCACCATTTCCATCCTGCTCTCCAACCTTCCTCTCTACCCCCTTCTCCAGGCCCCTTTCCGCCACCATCTCCAGAGCTTTATGAGGGGACCCACTTCCATGGTGGGTTGCATTTTGGCTGGTGCGCACAAATTCCTTCTTCTTCTTCAACAAAGGTGTTCTGCTGGGTCCACAACTTCCAGGCACGAAGCAATGCTGACCTGGCTGATTCAGCTGCCCCTGCCGCTCTGCACCAGCCACTGCAAGGCTAAACCGTGTCAAGAATATGGCTACCCAGCCATTATCTTAAACCAGTTTAAAACGATGGCTATCCAGCCATGAAATGGATGCTGCTGAGAAGCGAACTCCACCTTTCCAAAAACCCTTTGGCCTTCCACTCATGTGGTTGCCCCCAGCAAACATATCTTCTGGCACTTCATCTCCTGCAGGCTCTGCGCATCCCCTTTGTTTCCTCAGTTGCATTGCCTGCTCCCTTTGCTCCTGGGATATCTGGTGGGTTTTGGAGTGGGCAATGTTCCACTCAGTATCAGCCTGACAGGCTGCCCTTAGCTCCTCACTTTTTCCACCTTTCTTCCCTTTGCCTTCTTCTGCCATGCCTTCCCCTTTACCTCCTTCTACCATGGCTGCTGCGAAGCCAGCTGCTACAAACCCATCGATTGCTTGAGCCTCAACACTACACACAACATCTTTAACTCTCTACAGACCAAACAACTGACAGGTAGTGGCTGTCCAGCCATCATAACAGCAACTAGGTGGCTGTCCAGCCATCAACTAGATGGCTGTCCAGCCACCAAAGTGGACCCTGCGTGGCCATGCTCTACACACTGCCCCAGTGCTGTCTCTGCCTGGGCCCAACTACATGACATAAAATACAGTAGGCATATGCTTGGCTATTCCCAGCCATCAAAGCAACAAATGGCTATCCAGCCATCAAGGCAACAAATGGCTACCCAGCCATCAAAGCAACAAGTGGCTATCCAGCCATGAAGCAACAAATGGCTATCCATCCATCAAAGCAAAAATGTTGCTATCCAGCCATCAAGGCAACAAAGGGCTATCCGGCCATCAAAGCAAAATGTGGCTGTCCAGCCATCAAGGCACCAAATGGCTATCCAGCCATCAAAGCAAAATGTCGCTGTCCAGCCATAAACCACACAAAGTGGCTATCCAGCCATCAATCACACAGAGTAGCAATCCAGCCATCAAGGGCAGCACAGTGGCTATCCTGCCATCACAGCACAGAATGGCTATCCAACCATCAAGCAAATAAGTCACAAGTGCATGTGTCAAGGAAGAAATATCAAAAGAACTTTGACAAAATCAATGGAATTCTTCAAAAAACCAATAAAATTTGACAACAAATTTCAATAGCAATTGCACCAAAAATCAATAGGAAAGTTCAATATTTCGTCTTTTTCAATAGGAATTTGTTGTTTTTTCAATAGGATGCACCTAACCAAGATGTTGTTTTCTATTGAAAAACACTTGGGAAAGTGCATTTTCAGTCGCTATTGAAAAGGTGTGGTTTTTGAATCGTTCTATTGAAAAAACCAATCGATCAGAGTCTGGGCTAGAACGGCTCATAAGAACCGCGAGTTTGTGCTCGATGGCAGCTTCCAAAGCCCTAGTTACTAGTGGACAGTGAGAGTTCGATGAATCCTCTACGTGGGTTTCATAATGATCAGGGGGGCCACCAAAAATGACTCTCAATTTTTTTGTGACTCTCAAATGTTGTATTTTTGGTTAGTTGCAAGGTTGCTGGTATTGTTATGTGTGCCTGGCTATCCTTTGTA